TCCCCGGGCTGCTCGGTCCTGGAGGAGGCCAGGCACGCGCCTCCGGCAGTGCTTCCATTGCCATGCGCGGGAGCCGCGCAGGAACCCGCTCCGAGGTGCCGTTCTGTGGCTTCCTGGGAGAGGCAGCCCTCCACCTGCGGACCGGCCGGGATGCCGCTGCGTGCGGCGTTCTCGCCCCGGGCCGCTCCGCATCGTCAGTGGCTTGACACGCCAGCCGTGGAAAGGGCCGATTCCCACGCGCCACTCGGCAGTTACTGGGGCAGCGAGTTGGCACTTGGGCTCCCTGGGCGCTTGATTTTGGACGGCTCGTTTCTGCAGCGAGCACGAGAGTCGGGGCAAAGAAGCAGTCGCCAGTTTTTTCCAGATCAGGTTTAGAGAGGAAGTGGATTTAGCCAGGAGGAGCCATCTTCCCTCCCCAGATTCCAGGGGGATGTCTAACTGTAAAGTCTTGCTCAGTGGATACAGAACGGGACCCTGACGGCACGCAGTCCCTTCTGCTCTGTCACTCTTAGCAACGCAAAGAGGCAGCCCTCTGGATGAGTTGCTGTCACGGCAGGGAAGGAGCCACCTGTGGAAGCGGCACGTGAAAAGTCTTCTTTCAAAGGGGAACCGGATCCGCTGAAACTCAAATGGGAGCTCAGGCCTATGTGGACAAGCGAGCTGCCAGTCATGCGGCCCGGATTCGCTGTCGATTCCCATGTGCCCTTCGTCTTCCCTCACGGATTCAGGGCATGGCTCCTGGCGGGAGCTGCTGCAGGCCACTGGCTCACTGGCCCCCGTGTCGGCGCCGCCCCAGCGGCCTGAGGAAGGGGCCACCACCACCTCCACAACCAGGACAGGAGTGGCACTCTGCACGTGCACCGCCCTGCTCTGGCACGGCTGGAACTGAGCCACAGCAGAGTTGCCGCCAAGGCCTATGGGGGCAGGGAGCCCCCCCAGGCCCCTCACAAACCTGAGGATGGGGCAGGTCCGGAAAGTAAAGGCAACAAAAGGGGGGAGCAGGGAGAAGCACCCCCTTCTCTACATCACCTGCCATGCGACGGGGGCCCAGCATGTGCCGCGAGCAGACGGGCCGTGCACGGAAAAGGCGCTCCAGGCGAGCCGGGAGCAGGTCAGCCACGCCGTGCGCTGCGGTGACCCCCCGCACGGGACGCTCATTTCCCCAGTGTCAGTCTGGGGGTGATCGACCGGACCCTGCCCGCATGTGCGAGCCTTCCTCGAGAGGAGCGACCGAGGGGCTAGTCTGTGCCCCAGGCGCTCAGGTCGGGCTGTGGGCAAGAGTGCCGCTGCCCGACGGCCCCCCCGGCCACCCTGGCAAGCAGCCGCCCACCGCGCTCGGTGGAGCTGTGCCCGTGCACAGGGAGGCAGAACTCCGGCAAGCAGCCAAGTCATGCGCCAACTCAGCCAAGTCATGCGCCCATGTGCCTGCTGGAGGCCTGCCCCCCACGCCCACACGCGTCCCCCAGACCACAATCTGAGTGCAAGATGGACGTGGTATAGAAAGTGCCGCCCCCCAGCCGCAAGGGGTGTCCCGCGAAGGTGTAAGCCGGCACAAGCTCCCCCCGGCCCTCGGAACAGCCCAACCCCACCATGGAAGGACAGTGGGGGCAGGCGGGAGGCGCCAGCCACCCCGCTCCTGCCTGGCCTGCTCGTGAGCAGCCCCTACACTGACCGGAGGGCTGCAGGAAACCAGCTGGGGGGCTGCCCGAGGCGGGGCCGCCTCAGCAGCCCCGGGACCCAAGCTGGGCCGCGGCTGCCATGCCCTCCGAGGAAGCCCAGCACCCCTGCCAGGAAGGGGCATTTCTGAGGGGCGAGGGACAGCCCCACCCTGCTCCCGGGGAGACCCGCAGCAACTGCCGGGTGCTGCAGGGCAACATCACTCCGTCAAGGGAGTCTTGGGACCCGTGACAAGAACCATGGATCGCTCCCCGCAGTGGCCCTCCTGGCCCGTCCATTGGCAGGCCTGCCCCAGCCCACTGCTGGCGGGGCGGGACGGGGCGGGACGGGCATCTGGACCGTGACTGCAGGCAGCCGCTTGTGCTGCCCTTGCAGGCAGTGTGCGGAGCTGGCTTCTGCACATGGCGCCCCCTGCAGCCTGGGTCTAGGGCCTGCCGCTCCCCATCGGGGCCCAGGAGGGGAGGGAGGCCAGGTCAGCTGCCCAGGGCTTGGAAGAAGCCGGGCGGGCAGAGGCAGGGCCCTTCCGGTGGCCGCTCCCGAGCCTGGGGTTAAAAGGAGGTGCAAGAATGGGAGCGGGGACTTGGCATTGCTCTGTTCCTTAGCCAGGGGCTACATTTATTGGGGAGGCGGGTATTTATTTGGGGTTTTATTACTATTTATTACACCTCTATTCCTCACATAGCTGATGCTCTCTGGGCAGTACACAACAGGATAAAAAAATCCGATACATGAAACCGCATTTACAACATTTTAGAATTAAATAAAATAGCATTACAATACATTAAAATGCATTATATAAAACTAAAAGGCCCTGCCAAGAAGAAACACGTGCTTTTAAATGATCTGTTCAATGCTGACAAAGACACTGTGGAACATTTCAGCTAGAGGGACCCCGCTAGGTGCTGGCAGAAGCATCCAGCAAGCAGAGGAGGCCCCCTCGTCGCGGCGCAGGCCCGAGCAGCAGGTGCTAACCCGAACCCCGTCCTGGACCATTGCACCTGCGCCCCGAGAGCCCCCTCCCACTCCGGGACAGGCACTCCTGGGCAGGTCGGCGGGAGGCAGGTTCAGACGCGCAGCCCAGCCCTCCGGCCCATCGGAAGCGCCAGGAGGCGGAGCGGGGCGCACCCTCACCCACCTGGACGGGGCAGGGCAGGGCAGGGCAGGGCGGCTCGTCTAGGTGGGGCGGCCAGCGCTTCTGCGAAGGCACAGAAGCCAAGCGCTGGGTGGGGCCGGAGGTGCGGCCGCCCTCGTGCTGAGCACCTGGGGCGGGGTGGGAAGGCCCCGGCAGGCGGGAAAGGGCTCGGCCCAGTGCTCCAGCTGCCTCCGCGGCGGTCCGCTCCCAGCGCCAGGGGAAGGAGGGGCCTGCGAGGGCTGCCCCGAAGCCCGGTGCCAAGGAGGGCAGGCGGGACCCGGTGGTGGCAGCAGGGGGCAGGGGCTTGAGCTCAAGCAGGCAGGAGGGCGACGCCATGGGGGCCACACCTGATGTGGACGAGCCGCAGCCGGGCAACTGCTGCCTGCTGAGGGGGTGCGATGTCCCGGATCGCCTCCACTGCCTGCTTCTGCCAACCCACCTCCCCCCAGGTGCCCAGCCTGCCTCGCCCAGGAGAGGTGTCTGCTGCGGCACCCGGGCCATGCCAGGTGCTCCTGCCAGCGGCTCGCTGCTCTGGCCTCCGGTGGCCAGAAATGCAGATCCCCCCCTCGCCGCGGGCCGGCTCCGGGCGGCTAGGGGCGCGCTCCCGTCACAGGCCCGCAGCGGCCGCTCCCGCGCACGTGCCCGTGGCCTGCCCCGGGAGGAGGGCACTGCCCGAGAGTGGGCGGCGAGTGCGCGCCCCGGGCCCAGATTCCGGCCCGAGGCTGGCGGGAGAACGGGACCCGGCAGCGGGCGACCCCCGGCCGTGCCGCGCGCGAGGGCAGAGAGAGCCGCTTTCCAGCGGAGCCCACGCACCAGGCGGCCGCGCGACTCCGGACCTGGCAGGCAGCGCGCCTCCCGCGCTCCCTGCTCTCCGCAGCCAG